TTACACCCAAACAATCCACAACGCCTCCTGTTGCCTTGCACCTTGCGCGCTCAAGAACCAGCCGAGAAAGAAATGCAGCAAGTGATATAATTTAAGTCAGATGTAGTGGTAGTCTGGCTGCCAGCTGAAACTGCTTGAGTAACCACTGCGATCCACTATCCCCTCCTCCTCCTCATCATCATGGGTCTATGCGAGACGTCCATGGGGAACGCACAGCGCTCTGCGATATATGACCACTAACAAGCACAGACACCATAAGGTGCACAATGACTTGCAATTGTCGGTTCATTCTCTCAAGGGATGATCCCGTCTGTGGCTGATAACCATTCCATTCCATGTTTTCCAGAGTCGGGATTGACCACTGAGGCTACCGTCGGTGGTTTTGGCTCGGATGCCCCCCCATCTGAGGTCGCTTCCACGAGACTACTGTGATTCTGAGTTTCATCTGACAGAGAATGTAAGGATGCATCAGCTTCCTTCGGTGTTGTTGCCAATGTCCCCTCCGGGGTCATGTCAACAACCGGGCTGTTGGGACCTGAATCATATGGCGCTTCAACCACCAATAATTCACCGGGACGGCTACTGCTGTCATCGGGATGATAGACAGGTTTTCGTCGGGGCGGCAAAGGGGGTTTTGGAACAGGTCGGTGGTTCTCTTTCTCCGGCTTATGCTCGGAGAACGGTGCATGGCTAACCGGCTTGCGTTTGGGGACAACCGTCGAACTTCCCGTTCGTCTGTAGCTGACCTTGTCAGGTCGCGGCAGCGGTGTGCCTGGAGGTGGGAGGGGATGACCACGCCCAATCGGCTGCTCCGGTGTGCCAGCAGGACGGGAGGCATCCTGACCGGAGCTGGAATCCCCCTTGCCAAACACGTTCCATCCCCATTTCTTGGCCACGGACGTTGCCGTGTTGAAGGTCAGAGAGGCTTGTGACTTGACATCGGAGTTTGTTGCAGATGTAAGAGATCGAGTCAATGTCTCCATCGTGCTCCGCCGCCGCGATTTATTGCTGTTCAAGGATGTGGTGGAAGCATTCGTCATGCTGTCTACGTTCATCGACGACTCACTACCGTGATGAATCGAAGGGGGTCGTGTGGGCAAATCGCCATAAGACTCTCGAGAGCTGTCGAACGACTCAACAATGGAAGGCTCGCGACTCTGAGAAGCACTTGTGGGAACGAGGTGACTATCGATGGGAGGTGAAGTGCCAGGTGTCCTTTCTGGTGAGCTAGGCGGGGAACGGGTGGATATCTCGTTCATCGTGCTGGTTGCATTAATCTTTTCCTCCCCCTTGGGTTCGGATGAGACTCGGTCGAAACCTACATGATCGGCAGTCACCACGGGGTCCGCAGCGTTGGAGAAGGTCTGGGAACGGATGACTCTTGGAGGCGAGGTACCCAATTTCTCTACAGCAGAAGACAGGGCACCTGTGCCACTCTTTTCGGAGTCCCCAATAGAGGCCTTCGAGGCCTTGCGGGCCTTCAAGGTCGCTGTGCCCGACTCTCCAAGCGCAGGTGCACTCATCGTGCGTTCGTCTTTCATCTTCAAGATTTCCACGGACTGGTCAGGGACACCCCCAGGCATCGGAGGCTGCGCCTCAGATTCGTCCGGGATATCTGCCTTCTCGTCAGGTTTCGGGATATCTCTCTGCCAGATTCCACCACGGAAACGCTGGGGCTGAGTATCCAGGAATGGTATATCATCCCAGAATGGTAGAACACAACTCTCCGCGACCACTTCACGGATTCGGCTTTCAATAGCACGTAGGACGATACCAAGCGTAATCTGCTTGGAGCTCACGATCGGTTCGATATTCATTTCCATGTTGGGCATTGTCTCAAATGATATCCAGATCCGGTTACTCGGAGGCGGTTTGAACTTGATGAGCAAATGCCCCTCGAGTTTCTTCAAGACAACAGCTAGGACAATATCCACTTCCCGGGCCTTGAAACGAGGACCCAGATCGATACGGACGGTAGCCGAGATCTGAACACGAAAATTGCCGGTATACTGCACGTCCGTCTCCACGCAACAGGTACCATCGACAGTCAAATCCTTGAGCCTGGGATTGATTATGAAGGGGGCCCCTTCTCCCATGTCGATCGTTTGTAGACCGATCTTGCTGATGAAATTCGGCTTGTTGACGCGAGATATCTTCTTGGTGATCTTTTTCCTGATGAAATCCTCCATCTCCGGCGTCTTGTACATTGCCAGAAACAACCGACCTAGGACGGCGTTGATCCAGCGGGTTTGCAGCTGTTCCTCGGAGGAATGAAGTCGCTGCACAAGTGTCACAATGTGCTTGGTATCGAAGGCCTGGTGTTTCGGAGGGCTATCCGCGGAGTTCCACAGCCTGGACTGGTTCTGCAGCATGGCGAAGTAGAAGTCCTCCTTCTCCGACAGGTTCTCCGAGAACAGAAAGAACGGTGGCGTGGGGCCTCCGAGGTCTCCCAACGACTCCAAACGTCGTGACAGGCAGATAGCGTTCCTTTTCAGCCATAGCTCTCCTTCCGGAATTTCTCCCTCTCCGCCATGAATGCTCACATCGTGGTGGGCGAGGGAAATGACGTATCGAACTTCCACTTGGTTCGCGTTATCGTAGAGCATCAAGTGCCCATGTCTAGCACATACGGACGGTCAGGATCAATCCTCGCAGAACTGCGACCAAAGGGAGCGACACGCAGCATGACCTACCGAAGCACGATGTAGAATACATTGCGCGCCCGCTTTCCGTTCTTTGTAACATTTTTGGTCGGTTCAATGGTCGGCGTCTGCTTGCGATCGAATAAACTTCTATACATGGCTTGGTAGACACTGGGGCTCTCCGCGGCGATCACCTCACCCGCCGGGGTGGTTCTTTCCGGAGGTTTCCCATTGACTCCACCGGGAACATATTCACGACAGACTGCGAAATATCCGGCGGCCACGTCCGAGTCATGCGTACGGTGGAACTTCTCGGCCAGCTCATCGGTCCCGGACTTTAAGCTGTACTGATCATCGTTATCGCGTTGCAGGGAGTCGCGCGCGGGTTGGCGGGTTAGCTGAGAGGGCGGGGATGATGCAGTCAGATAGGCATAGAGGAGGAATAGCGATATGACGAGAGGGATAAACGTGAGTCCACCAAGGACATAAACGAAGAGAAGGTTGCCGAATGAACTCATTGGGGAGCTGAATGGATTAAAGGACCGGCAATGAAAGCTCCATCATCATGGGGTAAAGTGACACCAAAGGGACCAAGTGGCAGCAGAGACCGAGAGTATTAGACCAGCCCCTGTGAGTGAGACCAGCTCCGAAGAGAACAGAACACGAGGGAGATAAGGGGTGGGGTGGGGAGGTGGGGAGAGGAGAGGAGAGGAGAGGAGAGATGAGGCGAGGGAAAGGAAGAGAGGACAGGTGTATCACCTCTTCAGTCGGTGGTGGTGTTTTCCTTGGGGGAGAGAGAGGGCGGAGAGGAGAATAGAGGAGCTGGAGGAAGGAAGAGTTATGTGGTTCCAAGTTCCAGCTCGTCACTGCACTGCAAGTACTAACTTAGGCAGTACGTTACCTAGGTAGTAGGTACAGTAGTTACGGAGGAAGACTGTACAGTGCTTCAGACACCAGCCTTGCCCTGGAAAAACCGTTACCTCCGCGCTTTCCGCCACGGCTCAGTGCTTTCTTTTTTGGCCTTGGTTGATCTGGTTTGCTTGTCTGGTGGCTAGCCTCAGGCATAGGCATAGATGATTGACGTCGATTCGATGACGGAACCCGGCGGCTGAGTGGGGAAAGTTCAAGCTGGGAACTTGGGAAGGGCTCAATTTACAGGCTACGTTCTAAGTCACTCTTAGGTACTCCGTACTCCGTACTCCGTAACTGGTTGGAAGAACGTTGCCCCGCCCCCAGCCCTGCCAACCGGTTAATCCCGTGATGAGTCTTGCAAGTTGCAACTCGCCAAACTGCCCACGTAGTTGTTGATCCCCCGCCCGGCCATTCTATTCTTATATTCTCGCTATTGTCCTGTTGATCCAGCAGATCCAGCAGATCCAGCAGCGACTTCGACAATAATGTATCGTAAACAGTACAAGTCTACAATCTTAAGCAGCTGGACACGGTCGTATCACTGGTTTCTTGCTTTCTTCTTGTCTTTTTCTTTGTAATTTCCCTACACGGACCCATACCTTCATGTGTCGCGGTTTGACGGTCCACTGGGTTGAAGAACCCATATCACCATGGTCCCTCAACTAGAAATCTGTTATGCTAATTGATAAATACACATATGATAGAGACTGGCGAGGCTAGAAGCGATGTATCGAGGCCTACTAGTTACCCATCAATTATATAGGTCATCACATCGCTGTCAACTAAGATGGATTCCCTAACTCTTGGCTTCTAGAATCCTTCCCATGCCCGAAAGATCAACTAGCCAGGGTTACAGTTACTGAGTACTAACTTACAGTGAGCCCCTGGTTGAAATGCAGGAGAATGTACCTGACATGAGCCCTGCAGCTGGAGCCAATGCGGCTATCCATCGACTCATCGCACCACTTGGCTCTGTTTCCATGACCGAAAATTCAAGCTAAATTTTACATCTTTGAAGCAAATATAGGTACAACACACACAAATGCTTCCAGAAATTCATCCCTGCCTTCCTGCTTGCATCCATCCATCCAAGGAGCCCAACCTGATCCGCTGACCGATTAACCGAGTGCGATTGACCCAAGCTCATTCCAGTTTAGCCCATGTGCTATATAGCCAACCAAGCTATACGATGGAAAGAGTTGCCAGATGATCCCCCAAAACCAAGCTCGTGACAGCCAGATATAAACGATAAAGAGATAGTAGTACATGGGACATGTCGGCCTGCAAAAAGAAAAGGAAAGTGTCTAAGTTTATGAACAGAGGGAGAAAAGGAAGGCTGAAAGCGAAACAAAACGGCCGGGCATCCCGAGCTTGGTCTCTATGATAAGAACGCTTTGCAAAAGACGCTGATGCACACGGATCGTCCGTGTCGCTGGTTGGATCAATCTATTTCCGACGGTTCATAGTCTTCTCGCACATCTGAATCAGACCAGCCTTGGCTTCGCTGTCAGGGAAGTCCGCGAGCGCGGCGATCGCCTTGTCGATATATTCCTGGGCCAGAACGCGGGTTTGTTCCACACCGCCAGCCTTTTGGACAAGTTCGCGAGCCTGTGAGTGTCAGTCAATGTTGCTGGACGCTCAATGGGCTGAAGGGATCTTATTTACCATCTGAACGTCACCGGCCTGGCTGAATTTACGGCCAACCAGCGGGCCTAGTTCAGGAAACTGCTTCCACGCATACAATAGCGGGGCTGTGGCCAGGCCCAGCTCCAAGTCCGCACCGGCGGGCTTACCCAGCTCGGCCTCGGTGACCGTGTAATCCAACATATCGTCCACCAGCTGGAACGCCAGTCCCAGATTGCGCCCGTATTGGTAAGCGGATTCGACAACCGCAGGAACACTATTGCCCAGCACCGCGGTCGACCGGCAAGACTTACTGATCAGACTGCCGGTCTTGAGGTACGTCTTCTGCAGGTAGTAGGAGAGGGTCTCGTCCGTGAAGACGGGCTTCTTCTCGTCCGCGGCTGTGTTCTTCAGCTGCATGAATTCGCCCTCCACGAGGTTGGTGATCACGGTCGACATCAGCTCGATGACCTCGGGGTCTCGCAGCCGGGCCAGAGCCACCGAGGCCCGACCCAGCATGAAGTCACCCGCCAGCACAGCCATCTTGTTTCCGAACTGCAAGTTAGCCGAGGTGAAGGAGCGGCGCGACACAGCATTATCGATGACATCGTCGTGCAGTAGAGAGGCGGTATGAATCAACTCGGTGATCTCCGCGAGTCGGCGCTGTGTAGGGAGGATATTTTCATCGCCAGCAAAGTCGTAGGCCGCATCAGGGTTACTGCTGGAGGTCGCGGAGGACAGCGAAGGGGGGAGGTCTGGGTTGTTGTCGACCAAAATGGAGGAGGAGGTAATCGGATCATTGACCGTCGCGTTGTAGTCGACCGTCTGGGGTTTGCGTGGGCACAGCGCTGTCGCTTGTGACATGAGCAAAACAAGCAGCGGCCGCATGTGTTTGCCCTCGCTGCGCGTGTAGTATTTAGCCACCTTGTCCAGCGTCGGGTGGCCAGACCCAAGCAATTGACGAAGGTTCTTGGTCAGGAACTTGAGCTCCTTGCCGACCATGCGCAATGGGTCGACCGAAATGCCCGGCGGCGCCTTGGGGAGGCCTTTGAAAAGTGTCTGGGCCGCCGACACGGCCGCCCCGAATGGAGAGACATCTCGCCGGCGGGTGGGATGATATTTGCGGGTTTGCACTTGCGTCTGGAGAGAGAGGAGATCATTTCGGAGGCATTGCCAGCAAATTGTCGTTGTTGTCGACGGCGTCGTGATGCGAGACGATAGTACTAGCCCGGCGGCTGGGACTGTGCGAGCTTTCATGATGGGAAAGAGAGGTGGAGAATCGAGGCGAGTACACCGAATCAGAATCTAAAAGACAGTCATACCCAAGGAGCAAACAGCGATTGGAAACCGGTCCAGATCCGGCAATGACTGTTGGGGGGGGGGAAGAAAAGGTCGGGAATAATCAATAGATTAATTGAAGCCGAAGAATTCGAGAGAGGGAATCGGGCGGTCACTGAGCTGGGCTTGCAGTGCCTGCAGTGGAACAGACCTCGGGCCGGATCGGGGTTCCGCCTGGCGCGTCACTCATCATCAATGGCTGGCCTCATACCTTCCCTGGTGCATACTGGTGCATATAGGTACCTGAGTACGGAGTACCTACCTACCAATGCTCGACCGACCTCCTTTGATAAGCAATGCCACATCTCTCACAAGGAAATTGGCTGGTCTAAGTCGGCTATGATGAAGATTACAAAATGAAGAGGCTCCCCCGGTCGCATCATCACCTCCAACACCTAACTCGAAAGTCAAAAGGAAAAGAATGGAACAGACGAGTAGGCGGGGAAACAGCATCTACACCGCAAACAACATAGGAAAAATGATTCAATAATAGATGAGAAACATGGAAGATCACGCCGGCAAAAGCTCAATCCTGCCAATTCCCCTCAAACACATCCCGGAACATTGAATTTGCAGATAAGAACACATGATTGTTGAAGGCCTCCCTGTCCAACCGGTCGGGGATCGGCAGAGAATTATGGAAGGAACGAAGCCAGAAACCTGCTGCATGTTATTGACGCTCCATAAGATAATCCCTTAGATAGCATCAAAGTCGCCGCCGGCGTCTTCATCATCCATGTCTCCCTCTTGAATCTCCTTGGCCAACTCCCGCTCCCGTTCCCGTGCTTCCTGTGCACTCTTCAACTCCAATCGGTGCTGGTTCATGGGGAAACGCATGGCCTAGTATTGAGATGGTGAGCACAAGTATGATTAGCAGGACGTGCGAGTTGAACTCACCTTAACGCTCTCATCGTGAAGACTCAAGCAGGCTCTAATACGCTCGTGGAAGACCTCACCCGGCTCCCGAGTAGCATAGATGTCACCGACCTCCTTGCTCTTCATGAAGCCACGCTCATGGTCCAAGCTGGCTTCGATCACCCCATCACGAATCGCCTTGGCCACGATGTACTCAGCCGACTCCTCGCTGTCCAGGCCAAGGCGAAGGCAGATGTCCCGAAGTGAGATGCGAGAGTAGGACAGTGACATCATGCGAATGCCCGTCTTGATCACGTTCTGTCTCAAACGCAGGATGAGGGTGTATGTACCATCCTTGCGGAAGGTTGCAGTGTACGTATTTACAATGTTCAGGAATCCATCCAGATCACCGACGCTCACAGCCTGCACCAGTAGGAAGTACGGGTGCAGGGCACGCTCCAACGCAGGCTGACGGAAAATCGCCCGGTCGGGAATATCACCCATGAGCAGCTCGACGACAACGAGCAGCTTATGGGATGCCTGGTAGAAACCGCGTGCACTGTGGCTGGACGGAGACTTCCGGGTAGCGCCAATCAAATGCCCGTGGGCGTCCGTGTACTGCAGCTGAATGGCCCGGATACGGCCCAAATAGTACAGGTAGCGGGCAATCTGGTTGTTCGAGGCAGACGCGGGGAACCGGTTGTGCGAGATCAGCAAGTCCGCCTGCGATATATGGGAGGTCGACAGGTAGTTCCGCAGAAGCAGGGTCATCACGGTCGCCTGAGTATCCACATCTTTGCGCAGGACAGCCGTTCGCAGCGCGTTGAGCAGAGGCTGGCGAATCGATGTGACAGATGCAGCGGGCGACGGAGGAAGGGGCGCAATCTGTTCGTAGAAGAGAGAATAGTAGAAATAGACTCGGGCCGCCAGAGAATCAAGAGTGCGGCGGTTGAGCGCCCGCAGCTGCTCGATCAGTTCTGTGGAGAACTTGGCGCCCTTCTGGAATTCCTTCTTGTCGTACAGATAGATCTGAACAAGAATGGAGAGATAAGTGTCGATCTCGGGCAGGATTTCCTTAGGGGTCGACTTAGTCTTCTCCGATTCGACGTCCATCTTGGAGCTGGCGACAGCACTGTCAAAAGCGCCAGTTTGATCGATGGCGCCCAACAGGAAAGAAGCAGTCAGGTTGGAGGACGGGTAGTTCTCGACGATGACTTCTGCCAGCACATCTGGTGTGATGTGCTTGCGCATGGACGATATCGAACGCAAAACGCGGAGAGTGAATCTGGGGTCGAAGTGGCTGACAGCTCGCTCAAGCAATGTGAAGTTGGACTTGATATCTAGAGTAGATCGCATAAGTGGCCATCAAGGTATCACAACCCCTTGGACTTAAGAGTCTACTCACCTTGGACAGCCTTGACCTTCGGGTCAACCTCTGACTTGGACTCCTCGGTGTCCGCACCCTCCATGGCGATGTCGCCTTCATTGTCCGGAGCTTTCTCGCCGGATAACCTCGAACCCTTGGTCGGGGGCACTACAACAGTCATCTTCTCGTCACCTTTCCGATCCTTACTGGCGGTGAATGAGGATGTAGGCCCACCTGCCGTATCCTCTCCCATCTCAACATCTTCCGAACCATTCATGCCGTTCTCCGTCGGGTCGGAGCCGTTGGTCCGCGGCTGGTCCCGCTGTTCACCCATTCCGGAATCTGCTGTGCTATTCGACGAAGCGGCTTTCGAGGCGGTGGTAGATTTGGCCTTGTTGGCAGCGGCGCGATTGGGCGCCGGTTGGTCCTTGTTGGAGCTGGTGTTCTGTGAAGTAGAGCGACCCTTCTCACCGTTAGCAGATGAAGAGGTATCCGACTTGCTGTTCGATCTCAGAGAGCGCCTCTCGGCCGGCATCCTTGGTGAACTGAGGGTCTTTTGGCTAGAAGGGGAGGGGGAGATAAAGCTTCGGCTTCAGCTTTCAAGCTCAAATGAGCAGTGAGGACCGCAGTACCAGAAGCAGAGGAAGGGGCAAGAGATGAAAGACCACCGGTGAGAGGGTGGGGGGGAAACAAGGGTTGTGGGGTAAGAGACACACAGAGAAAAGTCAAAGATGCAAACAGAAGGCAAGATAGATCGCGGATGGTAGGTGAGTGAGTTGGAAGCAGATGGTTGATGAGGTGGTGATGTGATGTCAAGGCTGGCTGGCTCTGGGATGGACAGCGAGAGAAGCAGCCCAGGGCAGCTTAGTCAGGTTCGGTCTTACCGGTCGGGGGGGGGGGGTCAGCTGGAGTGACAAGCTACCTAGCTTGCGCGTGCGCCTGGCGCCTGGTCAGTCAGTCCGGTTCAATTTAATACAGTACAGAGTCAATTGGCTCTGGAGGGATAGAGCTGTAGCCCAACTTACTGAGAAAGAATCCGGGAGTTTCCGGTGTCAACCTTTGAGGTGGGTTGGCTGGTTGCTTGGATTGTACAGTGAGTTCACGTTCGTCAGTACTCCGTAGTAACTTAGTAGTTGTAGGAGGAGAGTCGGGGAGAAATGGATAACCAAGTTAAGTTAGCTTGCATTGCCACTCTGGTGGCCTGGTATTTGAGGCAGATACAGCTGGAAATCATCTTGGCATGTTTACCGCGAACAACAACAACCACCTTCATGAATGATTGATCTTATCGGAAAACACCGCCCGCGTTCTTGTTGTATATCCACCCATTTCTCAACTATTATCCTGTCGTCGCCCAGTCTATGCTCAACATGTCGCTTCTTGAAAGCCACCTTGAGCAAATCACGCTCTCCTCAAATGCTATTGCAGAACTTCCGTGAGACCCCGACCCGGACAACCTCGTACAATACCAGCTTGCTGATCCGCTGTCGTTCCAGCTTTCCACCTCCGCGAATGTTCACCAATGCTCTTCTGGGCTCTCATGACATCACCTCCCTAATCCGCGACACGGAAGCTCATGAACGGGCTTTATTCCAGACTGATCCCTCGGTGAAGCCCGTCAGCTCGGCGCAGCGACGAGCTACTCGCAGCGGCACGCAGTTCCCACAAGAGACAGAGAAGGAGTCTATGGCGAGTCGGATTTATTCGGCCAGAAACAACAAAAACCAGTCCGCTGTAGCCAGAGTGCTGGGCTCAGATATGATGGAGGAGATCAAGCGCTCCGCGGGACGGGGTCCGCGCGGGGAAGTCAACGTCGATGTCTTGCTTCGCGGCGCAGAGATCCTTTGCAATGTCTAGTAAGCTCCCCCTTCCTGCCCTCGTCTGATGATAAATGTCTGACTTAATGGGGTAGCCCGGTCGCTGGCGCACACGAAAAGATCGCAAGTCTTCGCTATCGTCACCAATTGATCACGGACTCAATTATAGATTTGGAAGAGCGCGTGGCCCGCAACGCTGCAGAGCTGGAGCAGATGAGCCACTCCTACGGTGATGACTATGATGATTACGATACTGGAGAAACACTGCAACCTGAGGTGGCCGACGTCACAGATACTGATCTAGCCCGGGAAATGGAGGAGATCCGAGAATTAGAGAGAAGAAAGCGAACGCTAGAAGACCGGGTCAATGGGATGGAACGGGATCTTGGTGGGTTGCTGGGCTGAAAACAACGCAGAACCCGATACTACCATCCAATGATCTTGCACGCATTTCCAGCAAAACCAGTGCTGGCCTGATAGTTTTCATCTCAGTGAAATGCTGCTCTTGGCTCTCCTTCAACCGGTCCGACCGAATCAAGGTGTGGGCACATCCCGAGCAAGCGCTGATGAGTTGAGCTACCATGCAGTAGCAAGAATGCGCCATGTTGGATTGCGCAGAAGTGGCATGGGTCTCATTTAGACCCTGGCACCACTTACTCTAGGGCTCTTTCACGACTCCGGCGAACTACATCGGGCAGCTTGCGGTCGCCGATGAAGTTACCCAGCCATACGTGAAGACACTCATTTAAGACTGAGATCAGCGAAGTTTCCTGCCTCGTTTTCTGAGAAGACTAAGAGATTGGTCGGGTCTCGTGGTCTTACCTGAAGTTGTCTCAGCCGTCCCTCGTGTCCCATTTCCCAACAACAGAGATGCAATCTATATAATCTCATGCCGTGGAATATTGCATATATGCTTGTTGCTCTTGGTGATTCGTGGCCTCAATGCTTCGAGTAACCGCTACAATGAACCTTACTGAGGCTTGTTCCGCCTCATCACCCCTAAAATGTGTGCATTGCTGCCATAATGAAGTCACCAATAGATCAAGGAGTGATTTTCCCAGATAAAATTGTAGAATGCCAGTGTAACGCGATTGATAGTCGTATCAATATCGTTCCAAGTTCCAAGTCAAGTTATCACGACCGCCTGCCGGAAAGGAAGTCAGGATATGCGAATGAATGAAGCCTGAGGCATTCTCCGACCCGCCACAATCATCCCCGGCTTGTCTTCGTCTGACTTCTGCCTCTCCCGCTGCTCATTATCTTCCCACCTCAACGGCTAACTTATATATCTCTTTTCAGCAACTGTCTCTGCTGCCAGCTACCAGCTGTTCACTCATCGTACTTTCATTTCCTCATTGCGCTCGGTTCGATCGTAGCCAACTCCATAGCCACCACAGCTATATCGGCACCCGAACGACGCGTGCCTCCCGCCGCACTTCTAGCCGGTTTCCTCGAACCGTTACATCTCCCGAGTCCATCTTTTCGACAAACGGCCTCATCACCACGCCTACCTAGCTGGAGGGAAACAGTATACATAACCATGGATAATTCACAGGCTCAGGCGCAGGCTGCTCAAGCCCATGCGCAGGCTCAAGTTCAGTCGCAGGCGCAGGTGCAGGGCCCGGCGACTCAGCAGCAGCCCATGGTGCCGCAGCACTCGAATCTAATCCGAACGGATCAAGTTCAGAAACTCCCTCATTTGAATGATCAGCAAAAGGCACAGCATACTCAGTTGGTTCGAAACCTGTGGGAACTTCTCAACGGCCGCGATCCGCAGACTTCGGAGTACCAGCAGGCTCATGCACGGCTCGCCCAAATCTCCCAGACCCTCATGAAAGGCATGCGCGCCTTTCAACAGAGTCGCCAGCTCCAACATCAGCAAATGCAAGCAACAAACCCGGCGCAGCCGGGGCAACCGGGCCAGCCAGGCCAGCCAGTACAACGGACACAGTCTGTGAACCCTCAGACCTTCAATCAACTCCTCCCGCAAATCCAGCAGAAAGTCAACAGTCTGCAGTTCTTTCTTCCTCCCAATATCAGCAACGAACAGGCGCAGACGTGGCTGCCCGAGGCCAAGCTTCGCTATGGGATCGCTTTACAGAAGCAGGAGATCGGACGGGTTCGCATCGCGGATATCCGTCAACAATTCACCCAACGCCAGGGCGCGGGAAATATGACACAGGAAGAGGTGGGAGAATTCAAGAGCCGCCAGTTGGCGGCAGAGAAGCTGTACCGTGAGGGGAGCGACTTCCTCTCTAAGTTCAAAGAACAGCAAGAGTCATTCAAGGCACAGCAACAGAGGGCTGGCGTTCAGCAGCATGTTTCTGCTCAGCAACATCCTCAACCAGGAACAGCGCCGCCGCCGGCGCCGACTGGCCCGAGCCCAGCTCCAGCAAGTGTTCCTGGACAAATTCACCCTGGACAAGCTCCCACCCCCGCCCCACACACCATCAACTCGGCCGTTAACGCTGCGCGCAACCAGGCTGGACATACCGCGATGTCTCCATCTACTTCTCAACCAGGTCAGGCACCCACAGTTCCCGGTCCCGGTCCCGCACCTGCCGTTGGCCCTGTTCCTCAGCAACCACCCAACCAGCAACCGCCTCTTCCACAACAAATCCCACCTCCGGTTCAGCAGCAGCCAGGACCACCTGGCTCACAGGTACCTTTCAATCCGGTCCCAGGTCCTATCCCGGACGTTTCCACTCCTACCCCGACATCTCAGACAATGATCCAGGGACCGCCCCGCCCGTTGTCGCAGCAGGCTGCTATGGCCCAGGCTGCTCAGAACTACTCCAACAACAACAACATCAACACCAACAACGTGCCTCAGCAGCAGAACATGAATCAAGCAGCTGCCAATCCTCACGCACATCCGCAAGGTTACAACTCCAACCGTTCTACCGAAAATCCAGCACGTACACACACTATGCCCATCCCCAAAAACCTGAATGTGCCTACCCCAGAACCAGTGAACATGGCACCGGCGCGCCCTACGCTGTCTGGCGGCCCTAGCCACGCGGCGGTAGGCGTGATGAACCAGCCTGCGATTCAAAAGCACCCTGGATATGTCCTTGAGGGTGAGGGTCAGAGAGTATTGAGCAAGAAGATGCTCGATATCCTGGTTCGCCAAGTCACTGGTGGTGGAGAGGGTGAAGGCTTGACTCCAGATGCAGAAGAGGTAAGAGAGAACACCCCGTCGCGCAGCGACTTGCTCTTGATAACAACGAGTCGCTGACAAATCTTGGACAGTTCATCCTCCAGATGGCAGACGACTTTGTGGACGACGTCGTCACCTCCGCATGCCGGATCGCCAAGCTGCGACCCTCTTCAACCCTGGAGATCCGCGATCTGCAGCTCGTCCTTGAACGCCAGTATAATATGCGCATATCAGGCTTCTCCACCGATGACCTCCGCACCGTCAAGAAACCCCAGCCTACGCAAGGGTGGACTCAGAAGATGTCGGCCATCCAAGCAGCCAAAGTCACTCAAGGCAAGGCAGAGTAAATCCGTGCAACGGCCACTCATACCTTTTTCGCGCCAATTCCCACAGTGTGCTTCAGTACGCTCAACTCACCTCCCAGTTGACATGTGTTGTTCCCAGCAATAAGCAATAGGCCAGCACACAAGTCACTCTTACGCAAGATCACGCTCATCCTCTCTTCTTACCGTCTATAACGAAGAATCTTCCTATTATTCCGGTGCTTGGTGGACTTCT